GGTCACAGAGCTCCTTATCTGTGCACAGTGGGGACATTCTGCTTGTTACCAGTCTCTTGTACCCACAGGCGTTTGCCAAAAAGGCATAAGCATCTCTTTGGGGTTATCTCCTATAGATAGGCCCTGCCAATGTCATGTGTGTTCACATCTCAAATAGATATTTCCTACTCACCTCCACAGAGTTAGAAACAGTCTACTCCCAACCTTTGCTACAATGGTCACCATCCCTGCCTTGGACGGGCCTGATTCTACACCCACAGATAAGATAAGCCATGCTCGAGATCAAATAATCAGAAAATACATCTTGGTAAGAAGAAACAGTTCCTGTGTCCCGAGCAACAACCACACAGCGACGGAGTCACACCTGTAGTTCCACCACCCAACTCTCCTCATTTCTGCAGCACCTGCCTGTCAGAGTGTGGAACTGGGGCCAGAGAGGGGGCCAGGGGCGGCCGGAGCAGCTCCGAGTGAGGCTAGAGGGGGACAGAGGGAGCCAGAGGGGCCACTGAGGCCAGAGCGGGCGGGCAGTGGGACAAGAGCAAAAGCTCATCTCAGCCTCCTCCTGAGAACCATCCCAGCCCCGGGAGTCATCGCTGCCCCTTCATTACAGCGCCTTCTCCAATTGGATCGACGCTGCCGCCACCTCGGCAAATGGGCCGAGACTCCCTAGGCTCAGGCCTCTGAGCTCCACCACCTCCCTGAACTCTGCTCCCCCGGCTCATCCTTTATGCCTCCACCTCCAGGCCCCTGGAACCATGAGAAACCCCCGATTTTGCCTTTTTCTCGGCTCACCGCCTCCTTCGCAAAGAGCAGCTGCTGCCCCTTAACCTTTCCTTTGCTACAAAACTGCAGGTCCCTGTTGGCAGAAGTGCAAACACTTATGAGTCCTGCCACCATCAGGAGTGGAGCTCATTGTCCCCCAAAGCTTCATGTTATCTGTAAGGAAAGTGATAAACAGGGAGCCTGTTAAATGAGTTGTTCCAGTCTGTTAAGGACCGAGCACTTTGGGGATGAGTTTTAGCCAACAGCTAGCCCCAAACATCAAATGAAAACGATAAAAACTAGCCTTAGGACCCCAGACCCCCCACTGAGCAACTGGCAGAAATAACTTTCATGGTGTTTTTTTTTAAATACATTTTATTGATTTTTTACAGAGAGGATGGGAGGGGGACAGAGAGTCAGAAACATCGATGAGAGAGAAACATCGATCAGCTGCCTCCTGCACACTCCCTAATGGGGATGCGCCCGCAACCAAGGTACATGCCCCTGACCGGAATCGAACCCGGGACCCTTCAGTCCCCAGGCCAGCGCTCTATCCACTGAGCCAAACCTATCAGGGCATTTCATGGTTTTTAACAACTGAGATGGGGCAGAGAAAGCCACCCCATACCAACAAACAGCTCAGCTTTGAGTCCTCTATCGCTCCAAGGGCTGTGCCCCTCTGTCAGTTTGGCCACTGGAGGAAGAGGGGCTGTCTCGGGGACAAGAACCTAACTACACAGTGGCCTTGAACTGATGGGGCCCACGCTCCAGCTGGCCCCCACTGAGAACGTCACCTATCAATGGAAGGAGCCACAGGTGACCCTTGACGTGGCCGGAGAGCCATTGGGGTAAATGGGCATCCTCAACTATTTCACTCAACCCAACTGCAGCCTCAGGAATCTCACTCTTACTCCTGCCTTTCTGAGCCTCTGGGTGAGATGTAAAGAAAAGTACATGGAAGTAAACATTTTAAAGACTCCAGATTCTCCGAGAGGGCGGAAGCTGTGGCACTGTCCTTGGTCAAGCTGCAGAAGCTGCGAGGAGAGGGGCCTCTGGCCCTTGTAAAGGTAAGAGGGTGGCAGCTTCAAATCCAAGCAGCTGGAGGCACCTGGGAATGGCTGTGGGGGCCTGATAGCTCCCTCCTCCCCTCCCCCCACTTTTCTCCAAAATTCCTATGCACACTGCACATATCTTATTTTGAAGTAAAAAAACAAAACGGGAACAAATACAATATTTGTATTTGCATGTGGCCCGCAGGCCGTAGTTTGAGGACCCCTGCTCTAACTCATGCTTTTCTGAGCCTCTGGGTAAGATGTAAAGAAAAGTACATGGAAGTAAACATTTTAAAGACTCCAGATTCTCCGAGAGGGCGGAAGCTGTGGCACTGTCCTTGGTCAAGCTGCAGAAGCTTCGAGGAGAGGGGCCACTGGCCCTTGTAAAGGTAAGAGGGTGGCAGCTTCAAATCCAAGCAGCTGGAGGCACCTGGGAACAGCTGTGGGGGCCTGATAGCTCCCTCCTCCCCTCCCCCCACTTTTCTCCAACCTCCTAAAGGTTGTCAAGGTCAGGTTACCTTTTACATTTATCAGAAAAATGCCTTGGATAGTAAGTGGCTTTAAAATCTCATAGAGCTGGTAAGACAATAAATAAATATTGAAAGGGCGAGGACTACGCCTTCCATCTTACCCTGTGTCCTCCATTTTGGGGCAGCCATGTGCTTGGCAAGGAGCTTCTTCCCGGAAGTCTAAGCCTCTGCTAGCCACACCCAGGAATAAGACATCGACTTGCGCCTGGCCAATCGGCAGGGCCCACAGTCCCCTCTCCTACCCTGACTCCACCCCCCTATAAAACTCCTCTTCATGCTGGGCTAGGCCTCTCTCTGCTTCCTGCCGTTGCGTCGGCGAGGTGGGGGAGCCGACCTAGCTCGAATAAAAGACTCTCTGCTTTTGCATCGGACTCGGCTGGCTCCCTGGTATGGTCTAATGGGGATCTTGAAATCTGGGCATAACAAATATAACTGAAGGGTTTTTGATAAAGCTTTTCAGCAGTAAGTATATATGCCTATACATAATTTTCCAAAGTCTATAATAACTTAAAACTTTAAAAGCATTGCTGGATTAAATAATAAAAGTTATTAAACATCTAATACTTTAAGATAGCATGAAATACTGAAACATTGATTTCTACACTTTTTTGAAATTTTTTTTTATTGCTTTCTGAGAGGAAGGGAGAGGGAGAGATAGAAACATCAATGATGAGAATCACTGATTGGTTACCTCCTGCAAGCCCCCTCCTGGGGATCGAGCCCACAAACTGGGACCCTTCAGCCCACAGGCTGACACTCTATCCACTGAGCCTAACTGGCTAGGGCTACACAAGCTTTTATTGCAGAAAGTCTATAAAGTGGATTTGCAACTGTTACTATCATGTCATGTGCTTTGTTGAAAGTGTGTTTCTTGAAAATAAAAAGTATGTTTAAAGTGTGTTCATAAACATCAATCTAAGAAATGCTCATTGTTTACTGTTTGGTCAGCTTTGGAAAATTAAGCTTTCTAAGAATTAAAAACTCAAATCAAGCTGGAAATAAATTGTATAAATTTAATAATAGAAGGCATGATGTATAGAAGTACATTTTTGCAGGGGAAAGATTGAGAGTAAATTATTCAAATGACTAGAGGCCTGGTGCATGGAAATTCATGCACTGGAGGGGGGTGCCTCAGCCCAGCTGCCCCCTCTCACAGTTGGGGAGCCCTCAGGGGCGGGAGGCGACCTGGTGATCAGGGGAAAGCGATGCCCCCATCACACCTCTGCTGCTGCCACTGCCAGCAGCGCAAGCCTCGGCCGGCCCTGGTTACCTGTGCCTCAGGTGGCCCTGGGAGGCTGGGGGGCTGAGGGGACTGGGGGACTCGAGACAGGTGCGTGGAGCAGCCGTGCCACATGCCTGCCACCCTGGAGGGGCTGAGGGGACTGGGCACCACCATCTTGTGGCTGTGGGCACTGCCATCTTTGAGGGTGTGACAGTCAATTAGCATATTCCCTCTTTATTAGATAGGATGGTCCTTTCTGAATGGGTAACCTCCACTCAGCTGTTATTCCAAAGCAGCACACTAGATGGCAGCAGAAATTAGTTGTTTTTGCTGATCTCCCTCAGATGCAATTCCCAAGATGCACACGAGATGGCAGCAGAGAATAGCTTTCCTTGCGATGTCACTCAGGTGTTAACCCAAGAGCATTACCTTTTCCCAGGCTCCTGCTGACTTGGCAGTGAAATGAGGATCCAGACCCGATACCAGGCTCACTCTAAGTTAAACCCTGAATCCGTTACAAAAAATTTTATAGCAGACAGGAAATGTAAACACTCAGCAAAAACTCAATGTTGAAATGAAGCAAATTACTTGTGACACCTTTTCATAAATTGAAGGAGAAATATTAACAGAATGCTCACCCACAAATAAAAAAATTTTGAGAGAAAACTATTTGTGGGTCAGAGCTATGGAAACATGAATTCCTCGCCTTCTCACTTTTCTTATTCCCCCCAAACGTAGTAAGTTGAATTGCTAAATAAGGTCAGAACTGACCGTTTTGGCCCTAGCCCAGCCGTGGGCAAACTACGGCCCGCGGGCCGGATCTGGCCCGTTATAAAACTAAAAAAAAAAAAACCGTACCCTTTTTTTTAATGATGTTTACTTTGAATTTATATTAGTTCACACAAACACTCCATCCATGCTTTTGTTCCGGCCCTCCGGTCCAGTTTAAGAACCCATTGTGGCCCTCGAGTCAAAAAGTTTGCCCACCCCTGCAGCCGGTTTGGGTCAGCAGACAGAGTGTCGGACTGCGGACTGAAGGGTCCCGGGTTTGATTCCAGTCAAGTGCAGGTACCTCAGTTGCAGGCTTCTCCCTGGCCGGCCCAGGTTGGGGCACGTGCAGGAGGCAACTCATTGATGTGTCTCTTTCACATCAATGTTTCACTCTGTCTTTCCTTCTCTCTTCCACTCTCCGTAAAAAATAATGGAAAAATATCCTCGGGTGAGGATTAACACACACACATGCGCGCACACACACACACACAAAAGTGACCATTTTGGAATAGAGAAATGTTTATCAAATATGATTTCAACTTAGTATAACTGAAATTGAGCTCTACTGGTGATTTATTTCAACCTGTGTAATTCTTACAATTATTTCTAGCCCCAAACAGCACAGCCATATTTGCTACAATAGCAACTGAAATGTATCCAGTATACATTTAATTATGGTATTCTTTTATTAAAAAAAAAGATACAGGTATGGAACAAGAATAATTTAACAGAGTTCTGGAACACTCACTATCAAAATACAGGAATGGATAAGGTGGGATAGTGTATAACAGAACAAAACCTACGTGAAATTCAAGAATTACCAGGAAGATTAAAGAAAACTAACAAACATTGAAAAAGATAGGACACTTCATTTTTAATCAGTCAAAAGAGAAAAGAGTTCAAGACAATCTCAAGTTCCACACACCATAGAGCTATCGTTACACATTAAATATAATTACTATCTATAAGTATGCAAAAATATAAAGTTCTATTTCATACAATAAAACCCTTGATAGGAACCATTTTAAAATTAAGCAGAACTCCTCAACTTATGTGTGAGGTAAAAATTCTTCTACAGGTTCCTTTAAAGGTTTTTAAACAAAATGCTAAATCTAAAAACAATGTACTCCCGTCAGTTCTCAAATTAATGCTACTTAAAGAAAGAAAAATGTATAGCTCGGCCACATACTCCTTTAGTATTGTTCAGGCATCCTGAAATGTTCCATTTTTTCAAGTATGGAACTAGAACTCAACATATTCCACAACACAGTTCTGAAGAGGAGGAGCATATAGGAAAGACTTTGTTGTCAGACGGCACAATATTGTTTTCTCCAATATATTTCTGAAATAAACGTCGGGGTTTTGTTTTTCTCCTAAAAGGCCAGAATTATCATCTACATCAACATACATCTGATTGTGGTAAGACTTCAGAGTGGAAAATAACCTCTTCAATATTTTATCACAAAAGTAACACTGGTAACAGATTATAAAAGGAGCCAGGACTCATGATTACAGCTCGTCATGATAGAAATATTCGTCATGGAGCTGTCGGCCATAATCTGTGGCTTCGCTGGTCAGAAACAAGTCCTGGTTCTCCAGAATCTCTGCCTCCGAGAGCTTCCTGTCGTTATTCAAATCCATTTCGTCGATGAGATGAAGAGCCTTTAACACAAGATAATTCAATGTGTCAGGTGTAATACATATTTTCAGCAAGATGTTCACATTTCAATGGGGATTTGATTTTCCAGAACCATTCATACGTTTATTCATTCATTGTTTGCACCATATTTTTAAGGGGCCTGTGAGCAATAACAGAATCACTGATCAAAATGATTATTGCTCCGTTCAAGTGCTCATTGTCTAAGCAAATGAAAACATTACACATGTAACTGGATCTGTCTCCAGCTTCTCATTATCTCCTTTGTTAATTTCCGCTGGGTTCTGCCTCCTTTCAACTCAAATCTGATTCAGGATATCTCAAAGTTAAGCAAAATGAACATAACCCATTTTGAGCCCCTACAGGCAAATACAAAATTTATTATTCTAACTGTCCTATCAAATTACTACATGATGCAATTTTAACTTCCATGTCCCCTTGATGATCTAAAACAGTTCAAAGATTTAAATTAAGAAACAGCAATGCATGGATCCTAAATAATTTAATTGCTTCTTTCTTAGGCTTAAAAATGTGAACTTCCTTTCCTACCAACAGTAAGAAATCTTCAGGGAGATATGGCACTGGAACGCTCACCTCCTCCTGGGCAATGCCCTGGTTGTTGGGTACCACCCAGGATAACAGCTCCTGAGGATCAAGCCTGCCATCCGCATCTTTGTCATAATCATTTAGGAATCTATCTTTCTCAACAAGTATCCACTCTGGATCTTCATTTGCTGCTTTATATTACAAGAAATCAACAACAAATACAAACATAAGAATATCACATGTATATGAGAAGTTTGATATATCCTAGAATAAAGGGAATGAATTTAAAGCCTACTACATAAAAAATGCCCACAGACACAAAAATACTTAACTAAAAAGTGCTAAAATAAATATAAACTATATAGTAATTTTCAACAGTGACACACAGGTCTAAACAACTACGAGTTTTTAAATTGTTGCATATTCTCACAAACTAGTAATTTTATTAACTGCTATTTGTTATAACTAGTTTTCCCAAATTTGATCTGGGTAAAATTTTTGGTACGTCATGTGGCTATATAAAGCTTCTTACGTGTTCTTAAAGAATAATGCTATGTGTAATTTCAAAGTGACATTCACAGTAAGGGATGCTTTTAAGCAACAATTCTGGAAAAAATTCAGAAAAAAGACATATACAAACTCCTCAAATTTCAAACAATCGTAAGTCACCTTCCACAGTCTACACCAGTATTCACAGTATTTATATTTATTTCTCTTTTAAGATCTACATCTAAAAGATACAGGATTTTGTTTACAAATATCCACCTTTACTTCCTCCCTCATTCGATTTGATAATCACATTACATTTGTCGCGAAAGGAAGACATGTTAGAATCTAGACGTGTACTAAGTGAGCCAGACAGCATTTGGAGATGAGCTCCCAGTCCCTTAGTTTTGCTTGTCTCACTGGGCAGAACGAGTATAAATCAGGCAAGTGCTTCCGGTTCCATTTCCTTTCCTTTTAGTTGCATTTGTCCCCTCCTTCCACAGACCTCAGCTACTTACCTGGGTCCCGCCTGTAGTCACCAAGAAATTCTTCCAAACTAACAAATCCATCACCATTTTTGTCATGTTCTTCTAACGCCTCTTCAATGACAAATTCCTATCATAGAAATAAATTAATAACGACGTTTCCAATCCTACCACCATCTGGGTCACTCCTACTACAGAGCTGCTTTAGGAACAATCACTAGGGTGGTCTATGCTTGCAAACACTGGAATCAGAAGCAGGAATATATCACCACATAGCAAGTCCAGCATCCTTAAGCTCTGTTGTCAGACTCCCCTCACCCTCTGAAACCACCTCAGCACTGACCTCACATTCTCCTGCTTCTCAAGATCGTCGTCTCTGAGTGCCCGTCTCCTTTAACTCCTTTCCATCCAACCCATTCGAACCCGTCTCTCTCCTACATCACTGCTGCTCTGAGTGAGGCCCCACGTGCTGGTCGGTCACACATCTCGTGCTGCCTTCTGTCCAGCTCAGTCCATCCCCACCCACCTGTCCCTGGCACGTCCATCTCTGACTGTTGTACAAGCTCAGAGCCGCAGTCATCTCTGACTCTTCTCTCCCCACACTTATTTAATCACAATATTCTGTTTATACCTGCTTCAAACTTTGATCATGTCTCTTTCATTTCACTGCCACCTTGAATTCCAGACCAAAACACCGAATGCCTAAATTGTTTCATTGTTATCTGGTCACCCCCTTCTCAATCCTCAAATGTCCCTTCCTTCCCAGAGAAACAAGAGCCAGCACTGTCTGCCCTGACAGGGCGAAGGAACTTGTCTCACTGAATTAATCGAATTGTGCCCAGCACTGTTCTTCAACCAGGTCATGTATTTCGAGCCAAGTGAGAAGTCAAAAGCCTCCCAGTGGCAAGAGAAGTGGTGCTAACGGTGCTGTCCTGCCGCTGGGCTGTGGAGAAAGCCGTCTGCAGCTTGGGACCACGGCAGCCGCCTCTGACCGCGACCTAAACAAAAGCCACAGCTCCCTCCCTGACCTCTGGAGCACAGACCACACAGCTGGAGACGGAGGCCAGGCAACAGGCCTCCATGTAAATGTGAGTCTGCTTTAAAGTGATTTTAATGTTCATCTCTGCTCTCCCACATGGTGGCTTTTGCTCTCAAGAAGCTTGCCACGTCACAGGACCCAATCAACGTTTGCCGGTTACACCCAGAGCGCAACAATGTTTGAAGAGCTGGTGTTTCTTTCCAGTACCTCAGGGATGGCCGGACTCTTTATGCCTCAAGTTGTCGTTAGCAGTTGTGCTGGTGCCCACCCCATGAAAACAGATCCTAATGCAGTACGTTTCCCAAGACTGAAGCTTTTCACAAGTTTTAACTCTGGTTTTTAATATAGAAAAACCAGAGAAAAGTCTGAAAGCCAGGAAAGAGTGCTGCTCACATATATTACAGAGATTTTTTAAAAACTCAGTCCTTTACCTTCTCCCTCTCAATAAGCAACCTCCACCCCAGAAACCCTCTTCCCCAGCCCAAACCTGAACCGGGGAGAACATGGCTCTTCCTGTCTCTGAAAACTCGGGTTGTGCACAGTTCATCGTAATCACTTAGTTAGAACAGGCCTTAAAGTTCTGGTCACTCAATAACTCGATTAAAACCTTTCTTCCTTACCGTCATATAATCCACTTCTTCAGGATGCTCAAAAGCAATGAATTCTTCAAGATTCAAACCGGGATCTGAGTCCTGGTTAGCTTTTTCAAATCGCTTCTTGTCCTTTAGATGAAGCTTGGAAAATTAGATATTGAACATGTTTAAAGGTCTCATCATAATATATAATCATGAACAAGGCTTCCTTCCAAAAGTACAAACCATGCGAAATCTAAAGCACATTTTCATACGTCATTTTATCTTCACATCATCCCTCTGAAGGTTGTTAGGGCAAATGACACTCATTACAGGCAGTGACAGGCTCTAGCAGCGGTTCTCAACCTGTGGGTCGCGACCCCTTCGGGGGGTCAAACGACCCTTTCACAGGGGTCGCCTAAATGCATCCTGCATATCAGATATTTACATGACAATTCATAACAGTAGCAACATGACAGTGATGAAGTAGCAACGAAAATAATTTTATGGTTGGGGGTCACCACAACATGAGGAGCTGTATTAAAGGGTCGCGGCGTTAGGAAGGTTGAGAACCGCTGATCTAGAGTCAGAAACTCGAGCAGAACTCCAGCAATGCCACTTACTGGCCGTGTTCCTTAAGGCAAACTGCTTCACTCCCCGGGTTTCCTCAACTATAAAATGGGGACAATCCAACACCAAAAGCAAAAGCAACAAAAGCAAAAGTCAACAAGAGGGCCCTGGCCAGTGCGGCTCAGTTGGTTGGGTGTCGTTCTATTAAGCAACTGGAATATGAATCCCATTCAGCAATTAGTAATAAACATTTACTACATGTGACAAATTACTATTGATTGAAAAACCTGAGATTAAGTGATTTGCTGAAAGGGATGTCAGAAATACAGCTAAAATATTTTGAACTTGGATCCATTCTGGCCTTTCTACAGTAGTACGCATTCTTTTCTTTAACAATTGATCTCAATTTCTTTTGAATCCCCAAAAATCAATAAATTTAGACTGTGTTTTTAAAAATATCTTTATTCATTTCAGAGAGAGGAAGGGATAAGGGGAGAAATATTAATAATGAGAGAGAATTATTGATTGGCTGCCACCTGCATGCCCCCTACTGGGGATCTAGCTGGCAACCGGGCATGTGCCTGACCTGGAACTGAATCGTGACCTCCTGGCTCATGGGTCTACGCTCAGCCACAGAGACACACCAGCGGGATTACTATGCCAACTGAAAACTGTTTCTGGTTTTCAAAATGACTTTTCCAAAATATATTCGCAGGTTTCAGAAATAGTCTTCTTATGAGAATACTTTCCCTTTTTTGAAAAAAATATTTTTATTGATTTCAGAGAGGAAAGGAGAGGGAAAGAGAGACAGAAACATCGATGATGAGAGAGAATTACCGATCAGCTGCCTCCTGCACGGCCCCCACGGACAGTTGGGGACTGAGCCCGCAACCAGGCCTGTGCCCTTGAGCGGAATCGAAATCAGGACCCTTCAGACTACAGGCCGACGCTCCATCCACTGAGCCAAACCGGCCAGGGCGAATTCTTTTCTTTTTATAAACTGATTGTATTATTAAACTTCACATTAAAAAAAAATCGCAATTTCTAGTATTTTAGAAGCTTTTCATTCATGTGTTTCACGGGTAAGTTAGGTAGCACCGATTCACGGCAACAACGCTGCTCCTACAATAACTGATTGACAGAGGGGAGCTCACTATTCCCCCAAAGAATTCATCGTTCAACGTTCAGATTCCACTGGACAGTTAGTTGCACTCAACCAAATCTGACAGAAAAGAAAAAAAAGTTTCCAAACGGCTGCTTTTATCTGCATCTTTCATACTTTTAAATAACTAAACCGAATATTTTACATTTTATGTTCAGGTTTAACAGGCAAAAGTAGACAAACAAGAACCTGATGTACTTTGCTGAGTCAATCAAGTTCTTTTTGAATAAACCACATTTCTGAACACTGAGTGCTTAGCTTTCCTTACGAAAGAACCCTTCCAGTTGGAACAAAAAGGTCCACGTTTCGCCAGAGGGAGCTGAATTTGGCCAAATTCGCTTATAAAGAAAGGATTTCTTCGAACAGACTGAGATTTCTTAAAAAAACAACCAAAAAGTCATTCATGGTCATTTGCAGAACACAATGTAAGTGCAACTCACATTCAAGAAGCCAAAACACAGAAGGACTTTTTCCTAAGTGGCCAATTTCTAAAGATGATACAAAGGACTCTTAGTTTCCCAAACTCAACACTCTTTTCTTCTGTACAAAAACCTTGTATTCTAATGGATGATAGAAAACAGCACATACAGTAGTGAAAACAATAGTCATTTTTATGGTAACAGAACCTTGTGAAGAACAGAACTGCCATGTGTGGGTCGGCGAACGATTTTACACGAAGACATGCATACTTAGTGATACCAGAGCCCAGGTCCAGCATTCTGATTTGCCCTGTGTAAGAGCGTATCGAACGTAAGAAGTATTGCTGATGCGCACACTCAGCAGCTGGCTTTAGAAGTCAGAGCTGAACTTTCCCAGGCAGGTCCCCAAACGTTAGTTATCTTGCTTCAAGATGCTGATCGCACTTGTTCATCATCCCACACAGAACTGCCCTTTCAGGCATTTCACAGCCCGAGAGGGTCATTATTCACGGTTATCTCTACTTTCCATATTAAAAATAACATAAATTCAGGTAGTCAACTGTTTTTAATAGACTACCGTATAGAAGACATTATTTTAGACAGCCCATTACTTAAAAAAATTCTTTACTGTTGAAAGTATTCCAGATGCCCCCCTTTTCCCCAACCAACCCTTCCACCCAAAGCGGCCCTCCCAGGCCTGCACTACACTATTGTCTGTGTCCACGGGCCACGCATATATGCATATAAGTTCCCCAGTTAATCTCTCCCACACCTTGCCTCTGAAATTTGTCAGTCTGTTCCATGCTTCTATGTCTCTGGATCTATTTTGTTCATCAGTTTATTTTGTGCATTAGATTCTACATGAGTGAGATTATGTGATACTTGTCTTCTCTCACTGTTTTATTTCGCTTAGCATAATACTCTCCAGGTCCCTCCACATTTTCTCAGGGGTAAGAGATTCTTTTTTTCACTGCTGCATCGTATTCCATGGTATAAATGTGCCACAGCTTTTTCACCCACTCATCTGCTGATGGGCACTTGGGCTGTTTCCAGATCTTAGCTATTGTACATTGTGCTGCTATGAACAGAGGGGCACATGCATTCTTTCTGATTGGTGTTTCTGGTTTCTTGGGATATATTCCCAGAAGTGGGATCACTGGGAGCCCATTACTTTTTATGATTTATTTATGGTGTAATGTTTCATCTGTAGCTTTAGGAAAGACTCATTCTTCACCACTGATTTTTAAATTTCGAAAACTAATGCAACTCTTTCATCTTTATATACCACATTCACTTTTAGAGGTCTATTTTACTTTTAGGAAATTATATCAAATTCTAATAAAGTAGAATAGACACATATTCCTGGGTTATCTAAGAATACCTACAAAATAGGACCCCATTGAGAAGTGTCCATTTATGCTCCATCGAATTCACCGTTAAAAAACTGTTTTTTTTGTAATTGATTTTTTGAAAGAGAGGTAGGAAAGGAACATCGATGAGAGAAACATCAATCTGCTGCCTCTTGCATGCCCAATATTGGGGATCGAGCCCACAAACCGGGTGCCCTAACCAGGGATTGAATGGGTGACCCCTTGGTTCATGGGTCGACACTCAACACTGAGCCACACCAGCCAGGCTAATTCATTCTTAAAAGATAGACTTATAATCAACATTACTGAGAACGTGGGTGAGGAAGTCTGCATTAGAACCAGACATCTTTCCAATGAAAAACTGCTCACTGCAGTTTATATTAATGGGTGAAGACTTTCTTCTCAACACCATCATTTATTGCATCACCCCCTCTCAAGAATATAGAATTTTTTGAAAAACAAACAAACACATCTCTTATATTGTGATTAGATAGTAATTAAATCTTTTGAGTGTCAAAGGAAAAAAAGAGAATACAATTAGGACCTAATTATAGTAATATTTTAAAATACTGTATTTACCTTCTCTGTTGTTCCCTGGCAAGTAAGTCACATCACACAATGGTTTGGTTTTAGTAAAGTGTCAGAACTTGAATGATGCTTTAAAAATATATATATATATTTTTATTGATTTCAGAGAGAAAGGGAAAGAGAGAAACATCAATGATGAGAGACAATCATTGACTGGCTGCCTCCTGCACACCCCGCACTGGGGATCGAGCCCACAACCTGGGCATGTGCCCTTGACCAGAATAGAACCTGGAACTCTTCAGTCCGCAGGCCGACACTCTATCCACTGGGCCAAACTGGCTAGGGCAGTGGTCGGCAAACTCATTAGTCAACAGAGCCCAATATCAACAGTACAACAATTGAAATTTCTTTTGAGAGCCAAATTTTTTAAACTTAAACTATATAGGTAGGTACATTGTTATTAACTTAATTAGGGTACTCCTAAGGCTTAGGAAGAGCCACACTCAAGGGGCCAAAGAGCCGCATGTGGCTCGCGAGCCGCAGTTTGCCGACCATGGGGCTAGGGGCATTGAATGATGCTTTTTAAGATAAGTTAATATAAAGGAGGTAAAAGAGGATACCTAGTACATAGACAAATCTCCAACCTCACTTTATCATCCTTTGTTTGCTCTTAGGCCAGGGGTGGGCAAACTTTTTGACTCGAGGGCCACAATGGGTTCTTAAACTGGACCGGAGGGCCGGAACAAAAGCATGGATGGAGTGTTTGTGTGAACTAATACAAATTCAAAGTAAACATCATTACAAAAAAGGGTACGGTCTTTTTTTTTTTAGTTTTATTCATTTCAAACGGGCCGGATCCGGCCCGCGGGCTGTAGTTTGCCCACGGCTGTCTTAGGCACTAAGAAGTGAAAAGACTGATTCATACTCTCCAGTCTGCTGTAAGACGGACACCCAAATGAGGGAAAAAGAAAAACAAAAGATATATTTTTCCTGTGAATTAAGTAAATCCTAACTAACCTAATGCTGATATACTTAACAAATGCCTCAAATATTTTTTTAAAAATATATTTTATTGATTTTTTACAGAGAGGAAGGGAGAGGAAGAGAGAAACATCGATGAGAGAGAAACATCAATCAGCTGCCTCCTGCACACTCCCTACTGGGGATGTGCCTGCAACCCAGGTACATGCCCTTGACCGGAATCGAACCCGGGACCCTTCAGTCCACAGGCCGATGCTCTATCCACTGAGCCAAACTGGTTAGGGCTGCCTCAAATATTTTTAAAAGCTGATCCTATATAATAAAAGCCTAATATGCTGTGTCCAGTTGTCTGTTCAACCAATCAAAGCATAATATGCTAATGATATGCTAAGGCCACTCAACCACTCGCTATAACCTGCACTGACCACAAGGGCAGACAGTAGACTGGTTGACCAGTTGCTATGATGTGCACTGACCACCAGGGGGCAGACGCTCCAACCGGTAGGTTACCTTGCTGCTGGGGTCTGGCTGATCGGGACTAAGCGAGGTGGGCCGGACAAACCCTGGAGCCCTCCCATGGTCCCTCCCTGGACCCGATCGTGCACTGATGGGATCCTTGTGCCCTCTCACAATCCGGGAACCTTCTGGGGATGTCGGAGAGCCGGTTCCGGCCTGATCCCACAGGGACCAAGGGACACCACTGGTGCATGAATTCGTGCACCAGGCCTCTAGTTATATATAAATTTTAAATATGAGTGTGAATTGCATGTGCTTTCTTCAACAATATTCTTTTAAATTAATACAGAACTGCTACTATTTCTCCTACTATTATCATCCCATTATCAGATATAAAGAAACTAAAGCGTAAGGTGGTCACATAACTGACCCAAAGCTGCAGGACTGTTAGTGGGGCAGCTGGATGGAAAGCCAGGCAGACGGGCAGCCCTTTGCCTCTACTCTGGGGGCAAATGCCCAGCACATGCAGTTACTAGCAGAGCAATGACCAACTCTGAGCTTGGATGGCCTCTAGAGCTCAAGCGGCCCATACAATTCTAAAACAAACAACATAGACAACGATGACATATGGCCAATAACTAAAAGGTAGGTACGGATAATGGGTAAGTTAAAGAATTTGAAGTGGCTCAAATGTTTGCCAAATACCCTTGACTAATAACATTTTGGGACATAATGGTTTGCAACCAGGTGCTTGGCTTTATATTTTTCCACATAAGAAAAACTATCATTTTAAGAAAAAGATTGTAAAATTAATTTGAAATAAAAAAGTATTTAAAATAGCAATTTCTGAAGAAAAGAGTCATTTGCCTTGAAAAGTTCTATTTACTAAATAAATGTTTCCTAAATACTGTCTTCCTCAGCTCTGCTTAAGCAGCATATATTTATTTTTATTTTTTAATATATTTTATTGATTTTTTACAGAGAGGAAGGGAGAGGGATAAAGAGTTAGAAACATCAATGAGAGAGAAACATCAATCAGCTCTGTCTCCTGCACACCCCCCACTGGGGATGTGCCCGCAACCAAGGTACATGCCCTTGACTGGAATTGAACCTGGGACCCTTCAGTCTGCAGGCCAATGCTCTATCCACTGAGCTACACCAGTCAGGGCAAGCAGCATATATTTCAACAAATTAAACCACGAGAGGCAACAGAACTACAGTCATACAGAATCTTCAAAAATGAGTTATTTTAAAGGGTGGAGCCACTATGGAAGACAGTATTGGAGCTCCTCAAAAAATTAAAATAGCATCACTATATGATCCAGCAATTCCAACTACACTTCTGGACACATTCCCTCCAAAAACGTAAAGTAGGGTCTCAAACAGATATTTGCACACCCATGTTCATAGCTACATCTATCTACCTATATAAAGGCCTAAGTGACCATTACAACCTAAGGACCGAAGGACTAGTCAGCCAGTCACTATGACGCGCACTGACCACCAGGGGGCAGACGCTCAACGCAGGAGCTGCCCCCTGGTGGTCAGTGCGCTCCCACGGCCAGCAAACCTCCCGCAGTCCCTCCCCCTGCCCAGCAGGCCGTCCAGGACTGGATGAGACGACCCCCATAGGCCCTGATCGCAGGCCAGGCCTAGGGACCCCACCCATGCATGCATTTTGTACACCGGGCCTCTAGTTATTAATAAGAGCCAAAAAGTTAAAGCAAACCCAAGTGCCCATTTACAGATGAATGGATAAACAAAATACAGTATACACCTGCAATGGAGTACAACCCAGTCTTAAAAAGGAGCAGCTGCGGGAGGCAACCGATCGATGTCTCTCTCTCACATCAATGTTTCTCTCTCTCTCTCTGTGTCTCCCCCTCCCTTCCACTCTCTCGTTCAAAAGGCAGGTTGTGCACATGCTCTCACCTGCCTGAAGGACTCCTCTTCTGCGTCATCCAGAGCTGTGTTCTCGTCAAAGTCAATCACGCGGTCATACATCTGAATGTTGTATTCGTCCCACGACACACGGCCATCACTGTTTTTATCATATTCAACAAACTGTTGTTTCGCTTCTTGCATCGCATAATGTTTAAAAGACATCTGAATCCATGAACTGAGTTCACCTATGAGAATTCCCCAGAACACAAGAGATGTTAACAGTAATCCTCATACAGAGAGGATTTCCAGACCATCGCTACAAGAAAAACACACACAAAACTGCAGTTTGCAAATACTGAATGAGAGCAGACTTAGCAGTGCTCATGGAAATACGAGGGGAGGTGGGGAGAGCGTTTGGAGGCTCAGACATTACAAAATGTGACCTAAAGAGAGGTAAGCTCCTCCAGTAGAGTTTGTGCATGATTTGTTCACTGAGGTTCTCCAAATACCTAGGAAGCCCCTGACTCCATAAGTACTTAGTAAGTGAATTACCAATCGGACAAAATGGCACGTGACTTAAAAAAAAATTATCCCTAAAACTGCAAGTAACTTTTGCTATCACAATTCTATCATGAAGCACAAATCTTTGAATCCATTTACTTTAATAAGTATTAGGAAAAAAATGGTTTCCATTTACAAAAGTAATATAAAATTTTCCTTTAGAATAAATTTAACATTGAGTTGAATCAACACTATACGTACTAACAAAATAATAGATGGTAAGTAGATACGGCCTCAGTTGTGAAATGGTCTTCAAGTGACTGAAGTTGAGAAACATTGTTACAGCACAATCCCTTTAACCGCGACATAGAACATCTGGAGGAGACTAACACAAATACGGGTAGCAATTATGATTTAGGCGCTTCTGGCAACAGCTGTCTGTCTTAACTAGACACCTGAAAAGTTTCTAAATCTCAAATATCTACTTTCAGATCAATTATTAAAAATCTATTAATAGAAACAGAAATTCATACCGCATTATAGAAAAAGCGGAGGAGAAAACAAATATTTGCAAAGATAGCAGGAGTATACCATTTGGTTTAAAGAGTGGTATTTTTCTACAGATTCAGGGACGGTCAGGTGAACATAAAAGACACTTTTTCTTTTGTCTCCCCTGAAACATAAAGTGCAAATTAGCAAACTTTCCTGAAGGGTCCTCAAGAATGAGGGGTTTTTTTAGTTTATTTGGAGCTCATCACGCACAACAGAATGCAGAATGGCACAGTGACCAGAAACGTTGGTTCACTTCAGCTTTCCATAAGGAGATGTTTACCTTCTCCAGTTTTTGTTTTCTTCTCTGTATAATGAACATTTGGAATAAGTTCCTTTTAAATTTAAATTTTTGAAATGTTTACTACTAAATACGTGACCACATGTAGGCCCTTACAAACAGGTGCATTAAAATCTTCCAAATCAACTTGTTCTGTGTGCTTTCTAACCAAAGATGAACCCATTCTTATTGGATATTAGAGTGTAAGCTTCTCTTGTTCTTTGTTTTAAGTAGAAAGAACCACAGCCTCAATATTCCTGAAGGCACCACTGTAGATACTTTATTGACAACAAATCTTAAATTGATCCGTTTGTAATATTCTCTCCAGCAATTTCATTCCTTAGATGCTGAGCCACATTGAAACAGGTTATAGCAAACTAGCTTTTATTTAATATTAAGATATTCTTTTAATAATCTGTGCATTTCGTTTCGGACTACAGAATCGACCTACGAGCACTCAGATATGTTTTAAGTGCAAGATATTAAAAACTGAAGATCAGATTTGGATTTCAGTCCTGGCTTTGCCACTCATTTGAAAAAGGCATTAATTTACCCCTCTGAGCTGCAGTTTCTTCATCTCTACAAGGAAAGGGGACAAGATGATTCTAGGGCCTCTATTACCTGTAATGATTTGTCATAAACATAATTCACATGCAACAGGTCTTTTTCTAGTTGCTTGTAAAAAAAAGCAAATTCTTATAATTCTAAAAAAATACTTAAAATATTAAACTGAGTTTTGGCATATTTCTCTAAAGTGAATTGCATTGTTGACACTGATAAAAGTCTGATGAATAAGTGTTTGCTCAAGGTGTGATTTGGCGAATACAAGTAGGGCCAATGGTGTTTATATATTACTACAGGCCTGGTGTGTGAAATTCGTGCATTGGGGGGGAGGGCCCTCAGCCTGGCCTGCACCCTCTCCAATCTGGGACCCCTCGGGGGATGTCTGAGTGCCTCTCGCAATCCGGGACCGCCGACTCCTAACTGCTCGCCTGCCTGCCTGATCGCCCCTAACTCACCTCTGCCTGCCTGACAGCCCCTAACCCACCTCTGCCTGCCTGATCACCCCTAACTGCTCCCCTCTGGCCTGATCGCCCCTAACTGCTCCCCTACTGGCCTGATTGCCCCTGCCTCTGCCTCGACCTGCACCCGGGACCCAGGATTCCCTCCTCTGAACGGTGGTAGGCACCCAGGACCTGGGCTTCCCTTCCTCTGGCTGTCCGCAGGCAGTGGACCATGGCGGGTGGCTTTGCCCAGGCCGCAGGCGCTGGCGCCCAGGACTGCGGGGCGGGAGAGGTTCCGGGCCACAGCCTGGCTGGTCCCTATTTCTCTCTCCCCGGTGTTGAGTTTCTGAGCCTTTATGGTGTGATGGCATGAAGCCATTTGCATATTAGCTCTTTATTATATAGGATGGGAGAGAGCATGAGTTTTGCTTAGTAACCTGTGTCTAAAGACCTCCAGGTATACCAGAGGGAAGGGGGTGGGGGGGTAGCAAAAGGGGCCCAATATATGGCAGCGGAAGATTTTACTTTGGGTGGTGGGGACACAATGCAATATCATAGAACTGTACCCCTGAAACCTGTGTGATCTTATTAACCAATGTCACCCCAATAAATTTAATATAAAAAATAAGCAAAAAGTAAAGCTCTCCCGGTATCAGACCTACTCACTAGTCCCTTACACCCTCTCGAAGCACCTCTAGTTTGCTGGAGCACTAGCCAGGGGCCCTCCGCAGCCACCCCGTCTTAAATGTGCGTTTCTGTGTCCATTGTTAGCCCGCCGTGGGGGACGTCCTTACTTTCGGTGAGAAGGCCATCCGAGTCCAAGTCAATTTTCTTTATGATCGACTTCAGTCTTTTTTGTTGCTCTTCGGGGGCGAGTTTAACATATTCGTCGACTTCTTCCTTTGGAAGGTAAGCGATACACGGGGGGGGGGGTCAAGCGTTACTATCAGCGGAGCAAAATGGGGGAGAGAGTACGGCCAGCAGAGCCTCGCAGGCGGGGGTTTGGGGTCATTCACACCCGCTCTGCAAGGCCCCGGCCCCACACGCCCCGGGGATCCTGCCTCGTTCGGGGAGCAGAAGGGATCGGCCCCGGGTTCCTTGTGAGCGGCGTCCCGCCCAGCGTCCAGCAGCAAAATGGGGGAGAGAGTACGGCCAGCAGAGCCTCGCAGGCGGGGGTTTGGGGTCATTCACACCCGCTCTGCAAGGCCCCGGCCCCACACGCCCCGGGGATCCTGCCTCGTTCGGGGAGCAGAAGGGATCGGCCCCGGGTTCCTTGTGAGCGGCGTCCCGCCCAGCGTCCAGC